AAGGAAGGAATGAAGGAAGGAGAGAAAGGAAGGAAGGAAGGAAGGAAGGAAGGAAGGAAGGAAGGAAGGAAGGAAGGAAGGAAGGAAGGAAACTAGTGGGCCAGAGAGAAATACAGATGAAAATCAGAGAAAGCACAGGCATTCCCCCCGCAGCGACATGGTTCCAGAAAAAGCAAAAGGACCAAGGTCAAAAGGACCAATGTCATCAGTGGTATTGTCAGTCTGGCAAATGAGCTGGGACCAACCGTGGTTTTTCCTGAATGAACAAGAGTCCCTGGTGCATTTTGGAAAAGGACTAGAGGTGATCATGCACACAGGTGACAAATGTCTTCCCTGACCTCACCTCTTCCATGCACTATTGCCTTAGGGAGCAAAAACATGGAAACCATTCTTTCAATCAGTAAAGGATTTGGTTTGGGAACAAAAGATGTCTGAACAAAACTTTTTTTATAGATGGAAAAAAATCAACATGAAGAATGATGTTCTTAATAAAATAATAATTCGGACCATCTGCCCACAGGATTTCACCACATCAAGATTTCAAACCAGTCATTTTTGTATATAGCACGCCAGCTTCTCAAAAAGTTAGATATACTGTTACTATATGGTCCACTAACTCCACTCCTAGGTATTTACCCAAGGGAGCTGAAAACACACATCTACACAGAAATCTGTATGTACATGAATGTTCACAGCAGCACTCATAATAGCCCAAAAGTAGAAACAATCAAAATGTCAATCCACTAATGAATGGATAAACAAACTGTGATAGAGCCATACAATGAAATCTTCAGCCATAAAAAGGAATGAAGTGCCGGTACATGCTAAAGCACAATGAACCTTGACACCATTCTGTGAAGTGAAATAAGCCAGATACCTAAGGCCACATATTGCATAATTCCATTTATACAAAATGTCCAGAACAGACAAATCCATAGAGTCAAAAAGTAGACTAGTGGTTGCCTCAGTGGGGGCAGGAAGAGAGGGAAGAGTGACTGCAAAAGGGTATGGTGTTTCTTTGTGGGGGTGATGAAACCTGCTGGAATTAGATAGTGCTCATGCCTGTAATCCTACGACTATGGGATGCCAAGGCGGGTGCATCACGAGGTCACGAGTTCAAGACCATCCTGGCCAGCATAGTGAAACCTCATCTCTACTAAAAATACAAATAAAAAGTAGCCAGGTATGGTGGCGGGCACCTGTAGTCCCAGCTACTCGGGAGGCTGAGGCAGGACAATGGCGTCAACCTGGGAGGCGGAGCTTGCAGTGAGCCAAGGTCACGCCACTGTACTCCAGCCTGGGCGACAGAGCGAGACTCCGTCTCAAAAAAAAAAAAAAAGATAGTGGTTATGGTTGCTCAACTTTGTGAATATACTAAAAACTACTGAACTGCATACTTAAAAAAAATTTTAAATCAACTAAAAAAAGCTTTCAGATCCAATCTTCAGATGCCTTGTGTAGGAAAGAACCTGCAGGTACCCATATACACACATGCCACTGTTCCACGTATCCATTAATAAGCTGTTCTTCCCAAATATTATTATATGGAAATGACG